CACATTGCCAGAATTGAAGAGTCATTTCCCCCTGTAAAGCCTTATGGAGCACACCTGGATATTGTTGTGAACTCAGAAAAAGGGGGTCTGGGATTCTAATCTGTATGGAGACATAGCTCAACACTGAATTATTTTGAACTTTGTCACTATTTTACCTCTGATGAAATATCTCAAAGAACAGTTTAGCAGTTTAACACATTAAGTCTCCCAAACTTGGTGTTTTCTGCTGAGGTACCAATGACTCTTGAAAAAAACTCCAAAATTGAGAATATTTAGAAGGTTTAGAGTAGTGGTTTTCAAAGTTCTGTAGACTAATAGCATCAGCACCATCTTGGAACTTGTTAGAAAAGCTAATTATTATTTTTAAATTGAGAAATAATTGTATATATTTGTGGAATAGTGTTATGTTTTGGTACATGTGTACATTGTGGAATGATCAAATGAGGCTAATTAACATACCTGTCACCTCCAATGCTTATTTGCTTATTTCTTGTTTGATTTTTTTGAATTTCTTTTTTCACTGCCTAGTCTCTGAAACTTTTTTTTTTTAATTAGTTTTTCACCATACTTATTTCTTTGTGGTGAGAACATTTAAAACCCACCCCTAGCCTGGGCAAGATGGCAAGACTCCCATCTTAAATTTTTTTTTTTTTTAAATTAGCTGGGCATGGTGGCATGTGCCTATAGTCCTACCTGTTCAGAAGCTAAGTCAAGGGGATCACTGGAGCCTAAAAGGTCAAGCCTGTAGTGAGCTATTATCATGCCACTACACTCCAGCCTGGTAAGAGGAGAGACCCTGTCTCCCACTCTTTTAGCAACTTTGAAATATACAATATATTATTAACTATAGTCACCATGCTGTGCAGGAGATTACCAGAACTTACTCCTCCTAACTTAAGGTTTATACCCTTTGACCAACATCTCCTCTTTCCATGTTCTCCACTCCCTGCAGCCTCTGGTAACCACCATTCTAATTATACACTCTACTTTTATGACTCTTTTTTAGATTCCACATGTAAGTAAGATTATTATGCGGTATTCCTGTGCCTGGCTTATTTCACTTAATAATGTCAGCCAGGTGTCACAGTGACAGTTTCCATTTTTTAAGGCTGAATAGTATTTAATTAAAAAAAATTTCAACATCAGTAATCAGGGAAATGCAAAAACTGTAGTAAGATATACCTCTCACCTGTTAGAATGGCTGTTATCAAAAAGATGAAGGATATCAAGTGTTGGCAAGGATGTAGAGAAAGGGGACAGCCATTTTGGAAGATAATATGGAGGTTCCTCAAAAAAATAAAAAATAGAACTACTGGCCGGGCACGGTTGCTCATGCCTGTAATCCCAGCAGGTTTGGGAGGCTGAGGTGGGCGGATCATAAGGTCAAGAGATCGAGACCATCCTGGCCAACGTGGTGAAACCCTGTCTCTACTAAAATACAAAAAAAAATTAGCCAGGTGTGTTAGTACACACCTGTAGTCCCAGCTACTCGAGAGGCTGGGGCAGGGGAATTACTTGAACCTGGGAGGCGGAGATTGCAGTGAGCCAAGTTCGC